AGCTCAGCAAAGGTAAGGGGGAGATGGTGAATGGAATAGAACTATCACCTTTACATTTGCTCTTCCTCTTCAATTTTTGATTCTTTGCACCATTGAAACATAACGTATTTTTCAGAGTATAAGACGCACCCAGATTTTCAGCTTTTTTTTTTTCTTTTTTTGAGGAAAAAGGGTGCGTCTTATACTCTGAAAAATACGTTATGTTTCAATGGTGCAAAGAATCAAAAATTGAAGAGGAAGAGCAAATGTAAAGGTGATAGTTCTATTCCATTCACCATCTCCCCCTTACCTTTGCTGAGCTTGTGTTCCATTACAGGCTTTAGGCTTATAAAATCTAGAACCTTGATTTTAGCATCTGCATGCAAGTTTCTTCTTAGTTGTTTGTCCTATATCGGAGTCCACATTGATGGGAAATGCTATTTGGAAGGAACAATGCTTGCCATTACATATGTACCCCATATCTCCTCTATTACCTTGTGAATAAAAACGTCCAAGTAGATGCTAATTTGTGTTTTCTTAGCAAAGGATAGATAGTTCCATCACAGTACTATTGTGTATGTTCTAAGTAAACTGAGACATTAACCAACATAGGCTTATCTCCTGTCATCTGCCATTTCTTAAATGTAGGTTGTTAACTGCTATGGAAAATAAATCTACACTAAATAGGATTTGAATATACTTTTAAAAAGGGCTTTTGAAGAACATTTAACATTTCATATATGGAATGCTATTTTTGATCAATAATAATCCAGCTTTACAGATTTTTCCTACAATTGTGCCTGCATTACATAAAATGTATGACCCAATATATTTTTTCAGATACATCAAGCAAACTAAAATAGCATTTTGTATAATTTGAAATGTGTGTAAAATACACTTTTCCAAACAATGGAAAATTAGTAAAAGAGGTTTTAAAATATATTAAGATATGGGGAGAAATCATGGACATGTGATACATTCTAATACTATAACAGGAGCATTTGATTTAATTTCTAAGTTTCCTATGAACAATTTTCTTTAAGTTTTTTTTCCAGTTCTAGGATAATGCAAGTACTATTCATTCTTTTTCCTCTATTAGTAAAAAAGCTTTAAAGATTGGGCAATGAATCTCTTGTGTCTTAATTACCTAACTGCAAGATGGAAAATAAGAGCACCCTACATCAAAGAGATGCTGCAAAGAAATTCATTAATGTTTGTATATTATAAACCTATTATTAGGTTTTATTGTGATAAAAGCTAAAGAAGAAAATCAGTAGGGCTTTACTTTAGAAAACAATCACTAATTGTGTTATGTTTTACTGAATGAAATGATTGAGCTGCCTATTATTCAAAACCCGTTCAATGCTTTGAATCTTTGTAAAATGATAAGGACTAGGGAAAAATCATTTTCATATAAACACATTTTTAAGCTTTTGATGTATATTATATTTATCATGTATATCAACACATGAAATCCTTTTATTACATTATATCATATTTTTTCTCCAACAACATAAGCATAGTAGGGGAACTGAATCTCTATTAAAACAAGATTTGTAAAAGTAGCTAATCATTATTGTTAATATCATTTTTGTTAAATATTAAATAAAGACATTTGGATTGGATGATAATTACTTTATTGATTGAAACATGCATATAACTCCAAACATTATGGCCACAAGTGCAGCAATAAAGGTGTCATGAAGAAAAAATTTCCAAACCCTCAGAAAATAAAAGTACTTAAATTTCAGTCCAAAAGAAGAGAGAAATGACAAGATGCTTACAAGAGGCTAAAGCAGTGTTAATATGAGTTAGGAAAAAAATTCCTATTTTAACATCATTACAATTATAGACTCCTTCAAATGTATTTTTACATCATTGCTTCAGAAGACCATCCCAGTGTTTTAAATCTCCATTTTAATATAAAAAATTAAGTAAATGCAAAAAAGCAACAGAAAATACTAAAGGTTAAGCTGAGACAAACTGCAGTTTTCAGTCATATATATGTATATGAATTGGGAGACAGTTAAGAGGAGGAGATACAAAAGTGAAACTGTTCTTTCAAGAAAGCATAAACTAATTTCCACTTACAATACTGTAGCATAAAACAGTGCTGAAAAAAATAATTTGTTACATAATCCATGGGCAATTTACATTTGTCTGTACAAAGTGTAAGGCCTTCAAGATGTGTGAACCATCCAAGTGTGTAAGATAGCTCATCAGAGCTCCTTAAAGACTCTAGTTTTGCATTCAGGCTTTGGGTGTTCTGGTATATTTGGCAAATAGCTCTGCAAAAGGGGTGGCTGCCTCTTAAAACTCTGCTGGTTTGCTTAAAATACATAAATTGTGAATATTATTCTTATCCGTTCCTAACCATAAAGTCAATCAATTTTTAGTATTATGTTGTAAGCCCCACTATTTTCTATGAGCTATAATCTTGATTCTGAAATAACAGTTGTAACCAAATTTCTAAACAAGTGTGCTTAATATTTTTCTGACAAGCATTACAAGGCATACCTCTGATTTAGAAAGATAATGAACCACATTTGTTAGCACTGAGACTTTGTTAATTTTTTTAAATGAAAAGGGTCCCATAATGGGCAACAGGTAGCCAAATGTATACATGTTTCATTAAAAACACTTAATTCTTAATTACAAAAGCACCACAGATTATTGCTCTAGGGGGAAAATGGCAAAAGATCTCTAACACCCATAGTAAAAACATCACTATATGCACCAAGACTTACACCTCTGAAAAGCAAATATATGGAATGCTTGTTCAATTTTATAAATACTTTTGTTTTCCAAAAGTTGTGTTAATGACGCTTTTTTCCCCTTAACTTGACAATGTTGGGAATTTCTAGAAGTACTGATACAGAAGGAAGAAGTGTTCATATATAGTTTATCAACTCATTGTAAGTCCTAAAAAATTAGCATTTACAAAATCCTTGATAAAAATATCTTTTAAAAGTTGTCAAGAGGTACATAAAAACATCCTCAAATGTTCATGTCAGTTCATATGCACCTGTCATCTACTGATTCAATTCTGTGCCTGTAAAAGGGAAAAGGGAAAACGTTATGCCAGTCTGCCTTTTATAAAGAAAAACTAACCCTACTTCATCTTCTCTAAACAACTTTTCAGCAATCGCCATCATTCCCTTTTGCTACAAAGGTTTGAAGCAGACGAAACAGGTTATTTAACAACTATTGTATTATAGACAGGACAACTATAAATATTCTTACATTTACAGGTTCCTGGTTTGTAAAAGCCATAGAAACCTTACCTGCTAGCTTCCATTGTTCACAATGAAAAGCACCACACTACTATCTGCTCCTATTCACTGCATATGCAGAATGCTCTACTGTACCCTTAACTTTCACTGTTTCAATCTGCCCTTTTACTGACATGTGCTGGGTGGGATACCTCTGGATGTTGAAACACTAACAGTTGAACGAGAGATGAGAATCTGTAATAACATTACGGGGGCAACAAAAAAAAGTATTATGAACATGCTTGCATCAGCTCAGAAACTGAATTATAAAACACTGACTGAATCAGCAGGATATATAAAGTACCTCTTCAGCTTTACTTTCACCATTTTCAGATGGTGTAGTACCTTCCTTTGCAGCTTCCTGTTTTTCATTCTTCTTCCCTTTAGAACCTTTATTAGCCTTTGTTCCAGGTTCCTTCTGATAACAGATCAAATATACAGAATGATTTATTAGAAAGCATCTAGGTAAAAGTCTCCAGAAATAATACAAGATACTTGCTTTTAACTCCATTTCTTTGAGAAGACAGTAGTATGTGTTTCTGAAGTTATGCAGAGCAATAATCAAAGTTACAGAGATAATAAAATTTTGGTGAACACCCATCCTACTTTGATGCACACCTGTGATACATATTTTACTGAGTTAAAAATGGAGACTTGTTTGTAAAAATGCAAGGAATCCATTGAGTACTCTTACACAAAAAAGGCTATTCTAACCAATTGGTTAATTATATTTAATAAGTTATTTACTAATATTCCCTATTGGAATACCTCATTAATCTATACTAGATTGGTGGGTTAGAAGTCTCCTCTTAACCATTATTGGAGCTTTCTCCTAAAATTGCTTCCTTTTGCATTGTATTTGGATTGAACGGACTGCTATGGAGATCATGTTCCAGCTAAACATACAGGTGAAACTCGAAAAAGAAACCCCATGCTTTTGTTAAGCACAATATTAGGTGATCACCATTTCCACCCACCTCTGGCTTCCCCATTGACTGGTTTAGGAAACCAGCAAAGAAGATTGCAAATGGTGATTATGTGACCGTGGGATGCTCTGACATTGTAAATGTGTTCTGATTGTGAGCTCCCCCAGCTTGCATTCATTGTCACACTGCAACCGTTGTAAGTACAAGGACCAGTCATAGTACCATTTGTTCAGCATCATCGTCAGTTTGAATAGTCATTAAACAAGTGGTAGTTAAATGAGGACCACTTGTATCTGTACTCAAAGAAGACTAATTATTGTGGAAAGTGGAGCAATAAATGTATTCTATTTTATAAAATCATAACCAAGGAAGCTGTAGAACATATTTTGGACATGGTCTGGACAACTATATGGAAAGTGGATTAGTTGTATTTTTTTCTTTCCAAGGTAAAGGGTGGAAATGGTGATCACTTAATATTGTGCTTAACAAAAGCATGGGGCTTCTTAATAAAGGCAACCGGAAATGCCAGAACTTCCACCACTAAGCATTGTTGTCACCTGACATCATGCTTTATGACTGCATCGCTTTGTGACAGAAATTCACTATTAATTACTCTTATTAAGTGAAGACCACCTTTACAGTCTATGCATCTGATAATGGTTCCTTACATGGCAATAATTTCTGGCATAAAAACCCTACAATTCACTATTATTATTTCTAGTGTTAACAATAATTGTGTTTTAAATGTTGGCGGAGAAAAATCTGAAACAACAATCAGATGACTGGAGAAATCTAATTTCTAGCCTGTATGAATGCAATGTGCACTGAGTGAATTTAAGCCAGTCTCTTTTTCTCTCCCCAAACTATCTCAGAGAACCTTACTGTGCAAATTAAATGAGGGGTATCCCCCTATACACACCACTCTAGCTCTTTACAGAAAGACTAAAACTAGAGCAGACCAAAAAGGATGATTAGGAAAATATGAAAATATTTACTGCACGTGGTAAAAATCATGAGTGTTTTACCTTGGCGCTTTTCCTCGGCTTAGACTCAGGTTTTGGTGGAGCAGGTTTCTAGAAAATATATTCAGAGAATGCAACCATTAGCACAGGTAGTAACAAACATTGAGTTACTCCTTCTCCTTTCCTTCTTATTGTAAGGAAAGAGCTGATGTCCATAAACACAGTTCGCCTTTGTAAAAATTCGTTCCTATACCTTTCTCAGAAACACATGTTTCTTTTCCTATAAATTATAAATATTTTGCAAGAAACTCTTCTTTGTGATCTGAACTAAGTATATCATTTTTTTCTTTTTTGGTTAAAAATACTATTTCCTGTAAAGAAAATGAAGAAAATAATCAACAAATATTTATCAGATTAGTCATCTTTGCTGTGAATTGATTATGAATGAGCCTGGATTTAACAAATCAAATGTAATGTGACCCAAATTTAATAGGACCAGCAATGTCTTCCATATATCATGAAATTTGTCTCCAGTCAGATGATCTGTGGAAATGTTAATGTTCCAGTGTTATGCATATGGCCACATTATGGCCACAAGAACTCCTCACGGTACCCACAAGAGTCCTTCTTGAAAGAGGTGGGTGGTCTAGAAACATGAATATATATATATATGTCTGTGTGTCTCTTTCTGACAGTAAGAAGATTTAAACTTTTTTCTTCCTTTAAACTTCTTTGAAAATTGAACTAGCCTGCATGTTTTCTTTCTTTAGGACTATTTTCCCAATCATTTCCAAAGTCCAGACTGGCTCAAGCGCCCAGAAAAGCTTTGCCTCATGAACTGGCTGCTTGCTTACTGGCTCTGTATCAACTGAGGTGGGAGTGGGAATGCTTGAGCATGAGGGCTGGGAGCCAGCAGTACTATAATTGCAAATAATTACTTTTATTTTTATTAAAAGGGATGGGAGAGAAAAGTAAAAAATGGTTTGGTTGATGCTGCCATTTAAGGCCAAAAGGCAAAGTAGGGAGCAGGAAGGAAGGAAGAAGAAAAGAAACAAGACAAAAGGAGTTTATTATGAATGGATTTTTCATAAAATGCTGTGGTTAGCCAGACCTCTGAGACAGTTAGATTGTGTTTTCTTATCCTGCAGCCATTGGACTGATCTGGCCATCATATCTACACAAACAACCAAGTGTTTCCCCAGAGCCAAAAGGGTAAGGGACCTCTGTTCTAGCCTTTGGGGAGTGATATATTCCATCAAAACAAAGGAAGAAAAGTAATTTGGAGCTTAGGTTTAGGTTTATTAGATTTATATGCCGCCCTTCTCCCAAGGACTCAGGGCGGCGTACAACATGAAAAGAAACACAGCGTAAGAAGAAATAGGCAAAGGTTTTAGTAAGAAATGCAACTTTTTGCAAATCTCAAGAAACAATATTGATTAAATGTGCAGGAGAGTTTGCATTTGTCCAATCAGGACTCCTCTGCATGTATATTTATAGAGGCAGTAAATGTTATAACAGTGTCTTAGATGTCCAGTTTTCCCAGCTTCAAAATAAACTTCAATTGTACTAAGCTGCTTTGGGACTTCCCAATGTTCATGGAAGTGAAAAATGCAGCAATCCTTGGTTATTTCAGATAAGAATTAATGAGCTGTCTTGTGGGTAGTTAAAAATTAAGATATGATTATCTTATATATCTTCATATGGCATAACCAATGTTAACTTGTATGGATTCGATTAAGATGTATTGAGGCTTCATACTTACAGAAATAACTCTTATACTTACAGCTGATAATCTTGCAGATCGTCTTGTTGGCTATAAAACAGAAATAAAATCTCTTTGTAGATTCATGGTACTAGGTAAAAGGGGATTACAGGGGGCTGTTATTCATTTGCCAATAAAAAACAGCAGTACTTATGCTAAAGTATTAACAATTTGTGGAATTATTTTAGAAATGTGATATACTTAAGTAGGATAATTAAATTGCTATACTTGGAAATATTACCTTCCTTTTTTTCTCTCCATTGTAATGGAAATGTTTTGTGGTAGAATTAAGGCTAAAGATTTGACATATACTCAAAAGTACAGTGCAAATCAATAGTACTTTCAATCATTATTTTGGTAGCCAAATATTTGCTATGTGATTCCTGGAGCTTTCTAAAATTAAAAATGACATATTTCCCAACACAAATTAATATACAGGTAAATATCTGGCATAAACCAACCTTCCCTTCCCAACCTGGAACACTCCAGATGAGATCAACCCCCAGCAGCACACTTGTAACTCTATGTATCTACAAGGCATTAGATAGTAGAAGGATGAATCCAGATAGACATACAGACACAGATACAAATAGCTGAAATAGAATTTCCTTATATCATAGTCTAAGCCAGCCAGCCCACTGCTCATGTGGCTCACTTCTGAACTGGCCACAACCTGGTAATGGGCCATGGCCCAGGGGTTGGGGACCCCTCATCTAAACAGCACTGGTTATTAATATTTGGTACTTGTGACAATAGGCATTAATAATTTTGGTTTGATTTACTATTTCCCTAGGAGTACAGCCTATAAACTTGAAAAGTTCTAACTGAATGCTGGTATTACATGTACACTTACATGGGAAATCTTGGGAAATAAAATTCTCATGAAAAGAAAAATGAGACAGGAAGATTTTAAAGATTTGCTTTAGGATATTGAGCTCCAAAAATAAAGGTTAAATACCATATTATAAAACGGAATCACTTGATTCCTTTTTCTTCCATTTTAACAAAAATATGGATATGTACTATTGGTATAATAATACTTTTATAACATTGCTGTACATGGGAGAAGAGACATGCTCATAGCCAACCTGGGAAGGTGTTACCATGTCTTGTTGCACTGCCTAAAAGACAGCTTGTTAGTGCAACAGGCAAGACCTGTGCCAATGATATGGCTTACGTGAAACACCAAAATGAAAACACCAAAATCATAAGATCCACAGTCTTGTGCTTTGCTTCTGATTCCTGAATGTGCTAATATTAGAAACAACATATTGCTGCAGAAGCCACTGGCCACATTTCAGAATATATTTTATGATATAAGAATTTGGAATTTTGGCTTTGTTGTTCCAACTTTTTTGAAGCACTGAAATATTCACACGTGGAATAATTTGCTTGTTAATATTGAAAAAGATCACGGGAGACACCATTTCCCCAGGATTTCAAATACTCTTTTTCTCAATTTGTCACCCCAACGCCTTCTAACTAGCATTCAAAGAGTAGGACTAATGCAGACTGAAACTTGAAATTCACTTCTGCCAGCCATGGGTTTTAAACTTCCTTGCTATGTTAAAAATGATATTACCTAGTTGGGTGCCTTTCAGATTTGTGGGGAATTTCAAGAATTGTAGTCATCAAACTAGGATAGGATGTTACAGATCTTACTATTAACAGTCTGAATTACGTTTCTTATTTCTAAAATTAGATTAAACGTCTTGCTGTATAGATTCATTCTTTCTAGAATAGGATGTGATTTTAGTACAATTATCCTAAGTACATCATTGCAAGTATCTATTTAATAATTTCCCCTAAAAATAATTACTAATTTTTATTTTCATTCATTAACTGTAAAATAGACCACTGCCTTGGAAATGATTGTTCCTAACCTGCAGGAGAGACTATCCAGGGCCTACAGTGTGATGGAGAGGACTTCTATTCTAACAAACCCGTTCCATATATATATATAGTGTTCCTAGCAAGGAGGCCTCTGCTTTTCATGCACATTAGACTAGCCCATTTTTTCCTACATCATTTTGGAAACTAGTTTAAAGTTGAAGTAACCGTATAAACAAACATTTTACAAAAGAAGGTAATCAGTTAAATGTCCAATATGTTGCCACTTTGGCAGCTATTCCAGTAAATGTCTCAAAAACTGTTATTCTTTCTCTTTTTGGGACTATGAGGCCACCAGATGTGACAGCTGTTCTACCAATAGACTGATGCTGTATTAATTCCCCAGTTCTTAAAGTCATGCAAATATAAAATTGCTTTGAAAATGTACTTTTTCCCCCCTAAATGTGCATTTAAAACTACCATGCAAGGAAAAATTGTCTGCAAGTTTCTCTACTGTAATGAAAGTAACAATTATAGTTAAATGGAGAGCCTATGTTTGTATGTATGTATGTGTCTATGTATGTATATGTATATATTTGTGTATGTGTGGGTTTACAGTGAAGATCCTTTATCAGAAAAGGGATTATTATTTAACTGCAGCAAATTAATAATTCATTTTAAAAAAAATCTGGTTGTCGCTAACTCAGAGACATTCCAAAAATAAAATAAAACCTTACATTCTTCTGGACATATTTCAAAATAAATGCACATGAACAATTCAGCTTAATCCCGTTAGCATCACACATTTTTACATTTCTAGTTCCTACAAGATTTTTTTAAAAAAAATAATCCCTACAGAACACTAGCTTGATTAAGAAGAGAGGCAATTCATGGTTAATTATTCAGGAAAGTTGCTTTGGTAAATTAAAATGTGCTTTCAAATTGTTGATGTTTTAAAAAAATTAAAAGCATGCATTCATTTCAGCTGATCTGGAAACATTTTCTTAGTATATCCTGGTCAAATATGCCCATTATCACTTTATTATTAAAGGCAACATAAATCAAATGTTCTTTAATGGAACATTAACTCAAAAATATGGTAAATCTGTCATAAAACCTACTTCTATGGAACTAAGGGAAAATACAACCTAGAAAAGAGCCCCAGTGAAACAAACAGGAGCTGTACTGATTTATTCTCAGAATGTATGGTTATAAAAAATCTGATTAAAAAGAAAAACAATACCTAAGCAAATATTAATTAGGGCTTGTTTAATGTTCAGCCACTTGAATGGATTTCCTATAATTAGAAGTAGTCTTCATGGTGAAAAAGATATATATATTCTGATGAAGTTCCTTGGTAGCATACACAAGGAGTATGAGACTTAGAAAACAATGCCATATAGGTCAGGACTATTTTTGTTTTAACAGCTTCAGTAACAAAAGTCTTGCAAGTCTGAATGCACTTCCATTTATCTTTATATGAGCCTGGAAGAACTTTGTGTGCAATATTTTCTCAACTTATTTTGAAGGCCTGGCTCAAGCCCTGCTTATCTAACTACTGTCTTGGTAGCAGTTCTTCCCTCTTTCCTTTAGGGCTATTACCTATTCCTGGGATGGTGAACCTATGGCACACGTGCTACAGGTGGCACGTGGAGCCATTGTCAGGGCACATGAGGCGTTGCCCTGTCAGCTGGCCAGCGTGCATGTGCACGCTGCCAGCTGAGTTCAGCCTTTTTTAAAGCCATTTTTCACCCTTCCCAGGCTCCAGAGCTTTATAGGAGCCTGGGGAGGGCGCAAAGAGCCTCCCCCGCCGTGCCCCCCGAGGCCCTCAGGAGGCTTCAGGAGCTTCTCTGAAGCCTCCGGAGTGCAAAAAAACTGGCCCTATGGGCAAACCGGAAGTTCTGGAATGGACTTCCGGTTTGCTCATAGGGTCGGTTTAAACCCTCTGGAGGCTTCAGGGACCTTCAGGCGGGTTCCCCGAAGCCTCCGGAGGACTAAAAAGGCACGTGAGCCAAAAAAGGTTTGCCATTGCTGTCCCTCTACACATCTTATCAATACATTCTTTCCAAAAATGAACTTTCTTAACTGCCAAAGCGTAACATGCAATATGAGTATTTCAGGAAAAAAGGGGAACATCACATAGATGATCAAAATACGCCGTTGTGTTACATACTATGTTGATAGCACATACAAGCCTTTGTATTTTTCCACAAAAAGTTACTTAGGTGAGTATATAAAGTGACATTCCAACAGATATTAGTGCATAAAATTTTGTTTTACAAAGTTCTAGGTCAGTGTCGCCTCTTAACAGTATTGTACCCAACAACCCTACTTGTCTTTTTTTTATTTATTTGATTATTTATACCCCACCTTTATTACTTCTACAAATAACTCGATGTGGTAAACATATCTAACACACCTTCCTCCTAGGGGCAAGGCTAATCTTAGCTTATATTGGCCCTGCTGCAAAGTAAATACGATTGTACTGTAATAGAAATACTTATTTCAAGACTGCCTTCTAATATTACTGCTACTGCTGCTGCTATTTTTACCAAATGGAGCTTCTGTCTTATTTCCTTAAAATCAATTGCATTTATAATTGGAAACCATGCAAACAAATGCAGTAGATGTATTCTTGGTGAGGAGGGAGAGGATTCTTTTTAAAAAAAGTGTGACAAGCAGGAAAAACCTACTTCAAGCTATTTCCAAAAGATTCCAATATGAGGGACAATTCTAACTCTGCAAAGCAGATTCCTCATTTCAGCTGCTTCAGTTCACCAATGGAGTGAACTAACTTGTACCAGATGGGAATGGGTTCTTTTGCAGAGCAGACATGTCCTTGGAGATAAGAGCATTCTATCTCTCACAGGTTTATTTGCACATTCCTTCTGCTTTAAAATAAAGAAGTTCTAATTTCAAAAGGAAGTTTATAAATAGCAGCAGCTTACATTCAGACTTTGGAACTTGTATATTCCATGCAAATATTAAAACAACTTATGGACATTCAAATAATTTTTCAGAAGTTAGCATTTGATCCTGTCCACGCTGACAGTTGTACTTGTATGAAAATAAACTGTACAGGAGAATATAAAGGAGGGGTTTTTTTTGTTCTCACATCTCATGATACACATGGGCATGAGGACATCCAGTCATGGTATATGAGACCATGATTGCCCACTTCATTCAATTCCCATGGACTTAACAAATGAAAAATTATATTCCATCATTTCTTACACAAGGGAATATTCTTTGACATCCCACCAAACCATTTCAAAAGTGGGATAATGATACTAACATGCTTTAGAGATGGTAAGAATGACTAAATCAATGTGTATGAAGTCCTCTGAACTCTCTGCATTCTATAGGTCCTTGCACAAGTTGGAGAAAACTACTCCAAAGTGATATAATAGCACAAATATCTACATTTTGGGATTTGAGAGCATAATACTCCCAAAATGCAATGAGCTAATTTGCACATGATGATTCTGATTGATTATAAAGGAACAAATATACCAAGGCATAGCTGCTTGCTTGCTTTCCTTTGGCTCTTCCTGTTGGGAAATGTTATCTGTGAGTTCAGTATTGTCAGAAGGACAAGTCAGGAGCACCAAAACCTGGCTTGATACCATTTCTTTCAAATTGGGCTCATAAGTCTCTATTAAGGACTTGTAGCTCTGCTTCAAAATCTAACCAGAGAATTCAGTGTAGTTTGCACTTACAGTAATCACTACAGCAATTCTCACTTGAAATAAAGCATTCAGCATTCTCAGAATCAATCTCCCTCTCTCTCCCTCCCTCCCTCCCTCCCTCTCCCTCTCTCCCTCCCCCCCCTCTCTCTTGCTTCTAACTCTTATGTGAGTAAGCTTATTGAATTTCAGTCACTGGGGCAACATGACTTGTGGAGGTTTGTACTGTCAAAGGTGTCTGCCCCAGCATGTGGAATTCTGCCTGGGAAAGAAATTATCTCTCAATATGCCCATTAATATAGTGGAAGAACTGTGAAAGGCCATATGGGAACAACTGTTGTAGCAACTATAACTGACAGGACATTCACTTTATCCATGGGCATCTACTCCTAACCAGAATTATGCCAAAATGACAAAACATGAACTTACAATGCCACATCTGACATTTCAAACTTCTCTCATAACATTGCACAGAAGTTTCTATGGGGCATCTTTTGCCAATTGCTCACTCCTTTGCAACAGGCTAAAAATCAGGACACTGTCAATGAGGCTTGGACAACAAGCTGGTTGGCCAATTTCTATTGCAACCAATGGATCAACATTTGTTGATCCTAAAAGAAGCTGATCTTGCCCTTGCAGAATCCTGTGGGACTTCCTGGTAAACAAGGACATGTTACGTTTCAAGGAAGAGGATTTGTTTAAATATACAAAATATATGAAGTATTAACCAGCTGTCATGAAAGCACCACTACGCTTTATTAGATAGACTGACTATGGCCTGAGAGGAATGTAATTGGTTTTGTGTCTATTATCTTGCCATCAATAAAAGAGAATTGAAATGATCAGACTTGCCTCTTGTTTTGTTATTTTTGCTGCATCCTTGGCTTCAGCACCCTCTGGAAACTAGAAATAAAATTATACGATTAAGTATATTGCATTCACCTTAGTTAAAACAGACAATCAGAAATATAGAACCAAATGGAAATCTTATAGATTATACTATTTCAATAAAACAGACAATGAGATTTAATTCCATCCTCATTTCTAATGAATTAGACATCACCTGAGCATTTGATTATTATAAACCGAAGTGTTTTGAAGATATAAACATACACCAGGAATGAAAAACTTTCTATTTTAAAAGATATTTCTTTAAAAAGAGACTAAGTGGTGGTTTTAAGTAGAACCAATCAGTTACATGTGTCATATTCAGGTTTAGTTTTCAGGTCAAATGAGGATGAAAAAATCTATAATCTAGTTTTGATGAAGATACAAAAATATAGAAGTGCAATTATTTGTCTCAATAATGTGCTCAATAATGGAAACAGATAACATATCTTATTAGTAATACTACAAATTAAAATCTCTGGTAAGAAAAGAAAATCTTATTTTTTTCTTAAAGGAAAATTAAGTTTAATTTAGTAGGACTAACTGCAACTAGGTTTATTTAAATCTAGATTCTTACTGGTAGAATAATGTTGCTTGGCTTGGATATTTTATGAGAAGCTTCTGATGTTTAGGTGAACAATTCAAACTTCCAAAACTCTTATAAGTAAATAACTATGCATGATATTGCATTAAAACCATTTTAAAGCAGCAAAAATGTGAAACTAGTAAAGCCCCATCTCTGTCCCATATGTAGATGGTCCAGGACGATCTACACAACAGTTCAGAATATAATTTCAACACAGTACCAGCTAGGCAGGAAAGGGCATCTGCAGCAATAGTAACTGGATTCCAAATGGGCGGCATGTCAGGACAGAGTATTTATAAGTAGCCCTCATTTAGCAATTGCCACATTTAGTGACTATCCACAGTTACACAAATAACTGAAAAGTAACTTTGTGACCAGTCCTTGTATTTGTAATCTTTTCAGATCTGTAAAGCAAGGAAGATTGTAAAATTATGAAGTTTCATTTAGTAACCACCAAATTGCCCATCCTAATTAAGGTTGCTAAATGAGGACTACCTGTATTGCACCGGCATAAAAGGGGCAGCCTGCAATTACCTGGTCATTTTGAAGCACTGAGCATTGCTGTAGATACTTCTTGGGGCAGAAAAACATAATTATAGGGCTTCCCGAACAATGCCTTTATCACCCAAATAAGTAATAATGTACACAGATTTTTAATGGCCTAGAAATAAAGAACAAAATGAAAAAAGATAATTGATTTCTACAGTTCATGTCTTAGTTGGCTTTTCCAGATTTCTTATAAGTTGCTACAAACAGATTAAAACAGCCTTTAGCACATAATGCCACAGAATATATTGGAACTACAACTCCCAGAATTCAACAACTAGAGGATGTCTATCACTGCAGTACTATAATACACCACACCTCATGGATTGTCCTGACCAGGACAGAGACTACTACACAAGTTGTGTCCCAACAGTCTCCAACATTGCTGAAAGTAATTAGTGGCAGGTATTACTCCAGTAGTTCCCACAGCAACTAAATTTGTTATAAATGGAAGACAAAGTAAGCGAGGTATTTGCCTGTCATGCTATGGGGTTGCAGAGAGTTGGACATGACTTAGTGACTGAAGAACAAACTAATATCCATTTCCATAAAAAAAAAATTAAATCCCACATTGGCTGTTTGAAATCCCAAATCAACCATTGGTCTGCAGGATGAACTTTCCCCAAAATTTAAAGCAACCCGCATTTTCTCCCCACAACAACCAATAAAAGATTTCTCACCCCTAATTTGTTACAAGTTGCTAGGAAAGTCTTCTGGTAGATAAAAGGTGTCAACTGGAAATGATTTAATGGCAATCCAATCTAACACTGCATTGGCTTAGTTGGATCAAATCTGATGAATTCATCTACAGGTAGTCCTTGATATACGACTGGCCATTAGCAACTATTTGAAGTTCTAATGGACTCCCAAAAGTTCCAAAGTCCAGAGAGACAGACACACACACACACACACCATGGTCCCATGACATTTGGGGCATTCAGAAATTCCCCCTTTACCACCGTTTGCAGCATCCTGTGGTCATGCGATCACAATTTACAAAAGGTCATCTAATCGGGTTGGTCTCATGAGTGCTATCTTACACTCAACACTATTCTCACTGCTTTACACTTTTATTCAAAGTAAATGTGTTAAAGAACAGAAGTTCCAGCTTTATGTCTCAGTGGATGAATCATTTAGCTACAGGCAAGAATGTACTCTTCAAGAAAAACCCTTCCTCTAATAAAGAATGTGCTGTGTATAATTATGCCTGCCTCTCTTTCTCTCTCTCTCTATCCAATTTTAAACCATTTGTTTAAACTGTATTAAATTCATTAATCTTAATAAGAATAATGGAAGAAACAGAATGTTTTAAATTAAACTCTATCAGCACATTGCTGAAGCCTAAAAAATGTAAAGTTGAACAACTTTATAGAAATTATAAAATAGATGCTGAATCAATTAAGAAGCTTGCCGTACAATACACTGGGCTGGCATAAGATCTGCTACCCCCACCCGCCCAACAGAAGAGGAGGCCTTCTCACCACAGGAGGCATTTCAGATTGGATAAAAGAATGTCACTGTGAAATGCAAAGAGAGGGCATAGTCTCTTCCCATGCCTCCAACTAGTACTTGTGCTAAGTTTGGGGATTCTCTGTACCATCTGAGGTTCTTCCTGTTGCCGTGTTTTGTTTTGTTTTGCAGGCAGTAACATCTGCAGATCAAAATCTATTCAGGGACTCCTTCAACCAGTGGAAAAGAAGCTGCAGAAGAGAATATCAACTCCATGATAGACTGTTTTATGCAAGGATTAACAATTTAAAGCCTTGCATTGTTGCAAATGTTTGGTGCAAATGTCAAAGTTGAGGGCTGGGAACTGAAGGAGGTGAAGGGTGAAATTGGATTCTCCAAGACTATCTTATCTAATTGTAAATTATTCTTTTGTTGTATCTCCTGAATTTAAATGCAATGTTGCTATGGGCTGGTGATAAGGCAAAATGTATTGATAAGCCTTGCCTTATTAACTGCTTCAATTACCATTCCTGCTGACTGAAGAGAAAATATTCCCAAATCAGGCCAAGAGCTGAGCGAAATTGTACCTGTGGAAAAATTATTTTTAAAATATAATTGTCATTTATCTGACCACCCTTTCATTCTCTTCAATCCTTTTCAACCAGCACGTCCAAGTGAATACTTTAGATTTTTGTATCCTACAGTTCAAAAAAAAAAAGGTCTTCATTTATAGCTTTACTTTGTTCCTTTCATTCCTTTCATAATTGCAAAATTAAAATGGCTTGCAAGGTATCATCTGGCACACGTTTATTTTGTCAACTTGGTTCGAGATAATACTTTTTCAAAAGCAGGCAGAACATCTAAAGGCTGTATAGATAACTAAGTTGTATGTGATCAGAAGATTCCAAGGTATAGCATCTGCTTCAAAAACCTGCTCCTAAGAAAGATTGTGCTTTATATATACAGTGCATCACAGAAGGGAGTACACCCCCTCACATTTTGTAAATATTTATATCTTTTCATGTGACAACACTGAAGAAATGACACTTGGCTACAATGTAAAGTAGTAACTATACAGCTTGCAGGGGTGGGTTTCTCGCCCCGTTCCAACCGGTTTGGTTGGAACGAGGCCGGCGGCGTCCTCGCACACGCACGTGGCGTCCTCGCGCACGCATGTGGCATCCTCGCACACGCATGTGGTGTCCTCGCGCATGCATGTGGCATCCTCGCACACGCATGCGGTGCGTGCGTGCACGCACACGGCGCGCGCATGCGTACTAGCGTCTGCGCGATGCTCCAGCTGCTCCTGGAGGATCGCGCAGGCGCTGTATGCGTTCTGCGCATGCCTGGAAGCGCAGAATTCGTAAAAACCGGGTAAGGAGCGGGCGCGGGTGTGCGGGCGCGCGCGGGCGCGGGGGGGGCTTCACCGTTCCCGGAAGTTACTTACTTCCGGGTTCGGCGACCAACCGGATCGCAGGGACTGGTGCGAACCGGTCGAAACCCACCCCTGACAGCTTGTATAACAGTGTAAATGTGCTATCCCCTCAAAATAATGCAACACACAGCCATTAATGTCCTAAACTGCTGGCAACAAAAGTGAGTATACCCCTAAGTGATAATATCCAAATAATATATGTTGCAGATTAGTCACGTGATTAATGGTCTTTAAGAGGACCATTCTATGTTTGGCAGATTATTGCAGACTATGGTGGTTGTATGTGTTATTTTGGGTTCTTCTAACTCCCCCTTCCCAGTTTGTGCTCGATCCCCATGCGGCTTTCTTGCTGCTGACTCTTGTTAATTTTTGTTGTTGTCAAGACTGCAGAGATAACTTCTAATAATTCTGTTTTAGGACTACTGGCTGGACAGTTTGTGTGAGCGAGAAATGGACGGAAGGTGTATCCATACTGTGTTGGGCAGTTTGTCTATTGTCCTTTATGACCATAAAGGAGGGGATAAAGAGGCAGGTGATGATGTAGGGAAACAATGGGAGAGGAACTGTATAGTCAGGATTGGGGATAATGTTACTGAAATGGAAGGCATTATAAAGTAGGCAACCTGAGGATGGTAAGGTGCTGCTTGGAAGGTCAGTTCTTCCATGATTTCCCATGTCCCCCATTTTTCTTGCTCTTCTATGCCTATGGCATTGACCCATTGGGAAGGGACTGGTGATATCACAAAGCTAATACTCTCATGGTACAAGGGCTCATTGTGGGTTTTTATATTCCTGCAATAGCAATGGTAATTCAAAGTGGACAGAGAGCTGAAGTATCAAACTGCAGTCAGTTGTTTGGAGGTGACTAACAGAGCATATTGCTCCTTGTTGGGGTAATAAAATTATTGACCTAAGTTCCAAGCAATGGTTCATCTTTAAATATTTCCATTGTGATAAAATGACTATTGACTAACCTGAATGGTCGTTGTCTGGGCACTG